AAAAAAAAGATCGATTCTGCAGACCGATTTGTCCGCAACTGTGCTTACTTTTTTTTTTTAAATTGTCAAACAGAGGATACAACCGTACAATAGATTCTCCGAGAAAACTGCATAATACAACGCGCCTGTATTTTGCCCCGTCGTTACATTAGTTCGTCCGCGTTAGCACCTCCGCGTGCCCATTGTCGACTCTTCGAGAGCCACGACACCGATGATGAAATCCCTCGTTTGTCAACGCGAATTGTCTATCTATGCGGACGTAATTAACAACCCGCGTTACCTTGGGCGTGAGTATAGATCGACATGTTGGTGTACACGTTGATTCAGCTGCCAGAAAATTCGACCCCGCACCTTTCCTCAATATTTCCTCGCGTGAATATCACCTTCGTTCGTGTGATGTGGGCTCTTATATAGAGCCCATGGGTCCCCCTTTTTCAATATTGACGCCCAGGCATGGCTTACTAGCGTTTCTTTTTCTTTTTTTTTTCCTTTCACTTTTCACAAAGTGTGGGAGTACAAGTACGAGCTCATTTTGGGTGGGCTTTTTTTTTTCTTTTCACGTGCTAGGCGGTTCTCGATCCTTCTCTCAATCTCTCCTCTCGATTTGGTTGCGTTACACATGTACGTAATATACTCGTGCGCGTCGCAGCACACGTGTTTCATTATTTTCGTGCGTGAGTCATGCTCCCTCGCGCATACGATTATACGACGGCAAATCGCTGATGTGGGTGTAGTTGAATATATCTGATACGTATCTTTGACGCTTCGTACATGCATATATACGTAGGCGCGTAGGCGCGTTAATCGTCACTGTGTATGTATATATAAATGCCGACGTGTGTCGCGTTGGGTGTTCGGTTTACCGGTGTGTGGAATAATAAGAAGCCTGGAGATGTTTTACTCGCGGATAGGCGATTGGTTTTTGAAAGTTTTTTCTATTTTTTTTTTTTTTTTTTTGTTTTCCGCGGTGAGAAAAACAACTTAATCAATACAATATTTTCATATGGCTTTTGATAAACAAGGGTACTACATTTTGGAACAACATGGGGAATTTCACGTGAAATCACTATCTCGAATTGCTTTTTCTCGACTATACTTATGTTGTATAATTTTCGGGACAATCGGGTAATGAGCCCTATTACGCTGCACCCGAGAAACAAACAAAAACAACATTCGACGAAGTGGTATCGATCGGCGGCCACAAGTTATACAACATACCGTATAAGGGCGCGACTTTCCTTCCGTATACTTCCACCGTTCACGCAACCTTATGACGATGGCAGTCCTCCGAGTATACCGTATCGTACAAGCTCAGCCCTTTCTGACGCAAACGTGTTGCCAACACCAGCGAGTCACCGTAACCCACTTATACGTTGCACGCGGTTTGGTCAAGGACTCTCGGATATACGCGCGGTGTGTTTCCAATATTCAGAAAAGTAGTTCTACAATTTTTTATAATTAAAATACTTTAGTCAATATGTAGTTAGGGTTAATCGGTATTTTTCTGGACAATTCTAGCTGTCAGCAAGGGGTACTTATCAAAATTGCTTTTCGACACTACCCGTCCATTAGGCCGATTTGGAAATTATTATTTCTATCCTATGATAACTAAAAGCAGTCGAGTAATGGTTTTCTGACGTTAATAACAAAAAAAAAAAAAAAAAAAAATTATCCATACTTTACATTTTTATATACACATTAATAAGGCCTCAATCATGTAATAAGTGTTATAAACACACACGGAGTTTGAGAAAACAATAGAAAATATTACTAATAGTTGGTACACACTAGTATATGCGTGGAAAAACGCGTTATCATAGCTGCTTCGAGATCAGATCTGACGTTATGATGAACGGTTTATTTATTTATTTTTATTTTTTTTTTTTACAGTCCACCGACCTCGATTGTACATATTTATATAATGAACTTTTAAACTGGGTTAGCTTAGTCTCCCTCTCTTCGAACGCACATGTATTGCACCATCGTAAATGTAAATTTTGCAAGAAATAACACTTTTCGATCGTAGGCTATAAAATTTCACGAATGATGATAATTACAAGGTCGCGACCAGCTGAACGAACACACTCGAGTGAGTCTCAAACGGAGCACTATACTTTGATGTATGTACATCTCACAGGTATGCGCTTGAAAACAAAAATTCGCTGAGATCACTGGACAAGTGTCACATGCATGTTTATACATGAACCGCAGAGGCAGATAATAATATTTCTCGAATTTTTCGAGCAGAACAAAAAAATGAGTGTAATGTTACCGCAGTAACAAAAAAAAAGAAAGCTTAATTGACTCAGCTGCTCGTTCGCAGGGGTGTTAAATCGATTGGTCTTATTACCAGCAGGACTTGCGAGGAAAAAAAAAATTGTGTGCACGTACAAAATTCGGTTCGATATTGCGATCATCGTTGGCCTGGGTATAGCGAGGAAAAGTTATAGTGGCCTAATGACAAGGGACGTGGCAACACGAATTTCATTGCTTATTAACCCTAGCAGTAGTACCCCAATAGTTGACAGTTACAAATGATTGTAATCTAAAGCCTTCTATTTGATAAAAGTTTACTCAAAGTTTATTAACTAAAAATTAAAAATACTCACATCTCAGGTTCAAACTAGAAATAATATGGTTTTTTTTGACCAGACATTAAATTAAAAATAAATGTGATTAAAGTTTACTCTTTTGTGAGTCACGCAATCAATTGACATAAAAATAACGTCATTGATTTTGTATTAGAATAACTATTCAATTATTATTTTCAGAGATATTTTTTAAAAAGAAACAGCAACAAAAACGTAATATTTCTGTAACAAAGGCGCAAGTGCTCTTGCATTTTGTATGCCGAATTAAAAAACAAATTATTCCTGACAACGTAACATTGAAATCGAAAATGTTTGATTTTCAGGTACACGCCAAGCACGAGGAGAAGACAGACACAAAGTCCGTGTACAGGGAGTACAACCGTGAATTCCAGCTGCCCAAGGGTACGAATCCCGAGACCATCAAGTCGTCGCTCAGCAAAGACGGTGTCCTCACCGTCGAGGCCCCACTACCCGCCCTCGGCCAAGGCGAGAAGCTCATTCCCATCGCGCACCACTAGACCTCATCGACCATCGGGAGCCATTACACGTCTGACGCTTCAAAACATTATAATTTCGATCGGGACGCTTGATGCGTGACGCACAACAGATATAAATATATATATATATATATAAATATTATTGCGACATTCATTAATAGGTACAAAAGAAAAAGAACAGAAATACCAGATCTGCAAATCTGCAGGAGTTTTTTTTTTTTTATATACACACATGCTTATACGCATAATAATGAGACGTTGTTATCCTTACATTTCAACCGAATGTAATCAAAAAGGTATTACCTGAATGTCTTTTTTTTTTTTTCTTCTTTCATCGCCTTGAAATCCATCTGCCTCGGTGCCAAGCTTTCGCAAGAAGCAATGTACTATGCAATGTACTATCTCATAAGTGCTCGACTTCTGAACACAATTTGGCCTCGCCAGAATAGCTATGTATATTTTCACAAGTAAAAATTGTATATTTTGCTACGAATAAATAAATGAAAAAATAAAAATAATAATGATAGTATGAAGGAAGCGAAAAGAGCTGATGTGTATCTCTCGTTTTTCTTCTCTCTTACCGTGCCTTGCGAAATTTTTCGAATCTAGTGCCGTGCTTTTGTCAAAACGCATGAAAAAAGCTTTGTGGCTTTATAAAAAAAAAAAATACCTGATGATTTATCACAGTTAGTGTTTATTTCGTGCAATTTTACCATGAGAAAACAAAGTAAATTTTTGTAAGTCTATCATTGGTTAATTTTTTAAGAAATTATCACGTCAAAAAGTGTGAGGGTGACCGGGGGCGATATTGTGTCTTCAAGTAACAACAATCAGATGAAAANAATATAGTAGTAGTTCTTATGACTAGTACGATGCGTGTTTTACAATATATAGCCGCAATAAGTGGTCATACAATATAACCTTAAACATAGCGAACATGATACTTTAACAGGAAATACCTCATTTGTTGGGACGTTAACACAAATTTTTCTTTACTTTGGAATCAAGCTTATGTTATCTTTTTTCGATCTATTAGTTTTTATTTAGATGTTTACTGCGTTTATAATATAAAATTGAGGGGCGTATTTTTGTTATTTGGCGAAATGCATAACTGCAGATATATACAACAATTGTAATTGTGGAGCGCGTACGTGAGCTTTTTTATTTGATAAAAAAAAGGATTGCGAAGAGTACCTATATATTATATATGATATTAAACGAAGACGACGATTAAAGAGTTGATGGTTGTGGATTATTTCAACGAAGGTGTAGAAATTGAAGAAAAAAAAATTTAATTGAACGGTATCTCACAGACACACATACACACAGAACTTATATTACATGTTAGTTTAGATGATGTATAAGTTAAAAGACTAAACAAAATGCCTAGCGTATGTGAGCATTATCATATATATATATATATATATAATATATTATTAATATTATTTATGAATATTTTAATATTTTCGAGATTACAAAACAAGTTTTAAAGTTAATAAATAATTGACCAATAAAATCAGTCTCTTCTTGTTTTACCAAACCCCATGTTATTTTTCGATTAATTCTCAAGTGAATTATACTCATCCACGCAAATATTTGTCATATAAAAACAATGTCTCGATTATAAACGTTCTCTGGCGTCGAAAATAATGGTAGAAAATCAAGTGGGAAACAAATACATTTTTATCACAGCATCATTGTTTATTTAACAAAATATCTCAAAACATTTAATATATGATTGTTATATACAACTGTAAAAACGTATTCAATGTTATGATCGTCATTACGATCACGAAACACGACTCTCATCCACAGTGAAAAGTCAATAAAATTTAATTTGCTCTTCCTTGGTATAAATATCATACAAATACCTCATGATTAATCGCTAATGTCAAAGACAGATCAAAATTACATTATCATGCGAGATGAACCGCAAAATCGTCAAAAGATAATGTATTTACAAATATAAGTTTCAGGTAGAGTCATGTAATTATTTTTTGGAAACGCATTCAAATCAATATTATATTTGTATACCTGGTCGTAAAACGCAAACGGCAGACTAAACAGTGGGTACCTCGGCCGAGAACAACGGAGCGTCGGTCGTACTGTAGGTGGGAGACTTGCCCTCCCTCGCGATCCGCAATGCTTGAAAAACCGAAACAGTGTCCAGCTCCTTTTGATTAGGTTTTTCGTTGTCGAGGTAAATGTCGGCGGCCCGCCTGCCGAAGGGCTCCAACACTTTGACCCGGTAGTCGACGATGGTAGATACCGGGTTGCCCGTCAGCCGGAGGTTTTCTAAGCAGGGGAGATTGCCGATGTGCTTGACTTCCTCGATGTCCTCGATCCTGTTGCAACTGAGGTCCAAACCTTCGAGGCAGTACAGTTTCGCGAAGCTCACGAGGGACGTCAGTTGGTTGCCCGACAGGTCGATGTACACGATCTTGCCGAGCTTCGCGTGCAGATTTTCCGGCAACGAGCTGAAACTGTTGGACGCCAAGTGCAGCTGCGACAGTCGCGGCAGCAACGTCACGTTGGATATCTCGTTCAGCCGGTTGTTGTTCAGTACCAGGGTTTCGATGTTGGGCAGTAGTTTGATGGCTTCGTCGATCACCTCGATCTGATTGTTGCTCAAATCCAGCGTCGTGACCTTCAACCACACGTGAGAATCGTTGGCCGAGCTTATGTGCTTGTGAACTTCCTCGCACATCGTTAGCTCCGTCATGTTTTTCAGCTTCGAGTCGTGCACTTTCAGCGTTTTCACCGTGTCCCGGAGATTACCCATGTTGTATATTTTGTCCATTGGGTAACTGTTCACCTCGAATTCTTCCACGTTTTTGAAACTCGACAGATCTATGCTCAAAGCGGATGGGGTGATGTTACTTGTGCCGTAAGCTGCGTTGCTCCCCGTGACAACAAGATTCTTCAAGTGTGCATTGTAGTCCAGTACGTGACTGAAGTCGTACTTTTTATCTGTTATTTCCAAAGGTGGCCGAGGTTGTTTTAGTCTGTGACTCACAGCGTATAACTGTGAAAAAAAAAAAAAAAAAAAATTTCGCATCCAATTTGCTTACGTAATGATTCTCCTTGTGGTTTTCTTTAATTGATACACAATCATTGAATTATCGGGAAAAACATGTAACTCACCTGTACAACACTGTAGGTGAAAAAATTACATTTCGGGAGCAAAAGATCTCCCTCGGTGAAAAATTTGCACGCCAAGTTTTGCAACAAAAAAAATATCTCGTAGACGTGAAACTCCAAGAAAATAGCTAGCGGTCTGGGCATGATTTTTTTCAAGTAATTGTATACTGAATTCAAATAAATTTCAAGTCCCAAGCGTCTTTTCTCCACGAAAGCTTCTGATTTGTTGCCGATGAATTTTTTCGGAGGCAATATGTCTTTTTCAACGCAATGATCGGTAACCAGAGTGTCGTGAAGTTCAGCAAATTCACTGTACCTGTAACAATGAAATTTTGTTTTTGAAAAAATGTTTATCTACAGCCTAAATTTTGCAAAAAACAAAATCTAAATGATTTTTCGCAAATTTGCCGAGGTTTTATTAATACTTGTAGGTCAAGCGAGAGCAAAACTATTTATAAAAAAAAGATACAACTATTAAAATGATGTACTCAGCGTTAAATTGATATAAAAACATTTTCTTGATATTTAAATTAACAGCTATAACGATTTATCCATACTTGTTTGTTAAAATGTAATATATAATATAGTAGTAGTTCTTATGACTAGTACGATGCGTGTTTTACAATATATAGCCGCAATAAGTGGTCATACAATATAACCTTAAACATAGCGAACATGATACTTTAACAGGAAATACCTCATTTGTTGGGACGTTAACACAAATTTTTCTTTACTTTGGAATCAAGCTTATGTTATCTTTTTTCGATCTATTAGTTTTTATTTAGATGTTTACTGCGTTTATAATATAAAATTTATGTCTGAGTTTCTACATCACGTATGAAATTACTTTTTTTTTCAACATTTTTGTTGTCAACCATACCTTAAATTATGCCCACATTTCAAAAACTAATAATTAACAACACAAATTACAATTTAATATGATTGTTCACTATTTCGCATATCAATAAAACCTCCTTAATGTCTACTTTAAATGTTGAACACATTTGCTTACCTGTGCTTGACACTCCATTTGACAGTACCAATTGTGACCTCAACTAGATAGTAAGTGACATTATCTGTGGTCTCGTAAGATGGGATACTAAGCTGCACATCCTCTTGGTTTTCAAGGAAATTTGCCATTGTCTACAATAATTGATATCTTTCAAACCGATAAATAATAAAACAGAATAAAACCACGATTCTATTGAGGTTAACAATGTCAGAAAAACATGTCTCTTTCTTAGTGGTTCTCTCTGTTATTAAACTCTGCAAGTTTAATTTGTTGGTATCAAGCTGAGATCGACTGTTGTTTCACTTTATTTATTCACTAAATTGTACAAAGTGAGATGGGGATGATAATAAATTACTATTAACATTCCAGTCGTATAGCTCAAAAGTAAATGCTCAAAACGATTTATCATTAAGTGGGAGTCTCTCCTCGTCTCCGTTTTGCTTTCCTCTTTCGCTCGCTAGCACAAATATAAGTGCATACGTTTGTATAAACTATAGCAACAACAACAACAAAAACAACACAACCATTACATTTCGGAGTAATTGTCTTCTGCTTTTAACGATGATTTAATACTTATGAACACCATATGATTTCGTTGGTATGTCGGCACTGGCTGTTCACTGTTCACCGTCAAAAACCCTACAGCTACAAAACTATAGACAACAACAAATCAATGCACTGATTACCAGAGATTATATGCTGATTACCTGGTAAGGTGATAAGCCATACTGAAGATAATTATTCCCGATTCTAAGAAAACTCCATACTTTTTTGAAGAATCGATACTCAGTCCGATACTTTTAGAGTACCGATAATTCACGTCGATTCTTCTCGATCGAGTAATGAATAAGTATCGACAGAAAAATATGAAACCACGTATTTCAAATTCTTAGATTGTATTCCAATAAGACTAATATTGTCCCCAAAATTTATTGTGCTTAATAACTGTGTAAACTTATTAATTATTTAATCACTAGGAACTTGAACACATTTTTTTTGTTCCCATTATCATGCGAGATGAACCGCAAAATCGTCAAAAGATAATGTATACTAGTATATGCGTGGAAAAACGCGTTATCATAGCTGCTTCGAGATCAGATCTGACGTTATGATGAACGGTTTATTTATTTATTTTTATTTTTTTTTTTTANTTTACTCTGAAATTAACGAAATAAACAATTTTCATCCGATCAGTGTTCTGGATGACAATGCCTATTCGTTAAATTAATTGAAATAAAATCAATAATTTCTGTGACTACAAGGTTCCGTCCCCATGCTTTGCATGCCAATTTTTAGAGCTTGATCAAACATTTATTTTCCTAAACTTTTCAAGTATGACGATCGACTTCAATAATTAGTTTCTTTTTTTTTTTTTTTAATATTTGTTTAAATTTCACCTAGAACTACATATTTTTTTTTTTTTATTACTCAAACTTATACTTTCAAATTTCTTCGCTATGAAAAAACCACGTGATCAGTCTAAACCTATCGAATTTCAAATAAACAGGCTTTATCACATGATGCATCAATAATTTAAGGAAGAAATGAGTCTCACGCATGTAATTCTTTGTTTTACAAAAATTGTGTTAAAATATTGTTGGGTAGAAAAAGAAATAATAATAATGAAAACAGCTTTGAAGTATTTTGTTTTTATTAAGGTTTTTATATCATCCAGTGTGATTGACAGAACAAAAAAAATTGACTAGTATCTCAGCACTTATACACGGTTAATTCCAAGAGAAATAACGACGATGGGTGACGATTGTTTTCCTTATTTTTTTTTTCGGCTCTCTCTTACAACGAACCGTCAATCATTTGTATCCAACGCTTGAAAGTATGTGTTCTTCGATCGACAATAAAATATACATCATACATGCATTGCACGTAATATTTCTACGCGATCGGACTAAGATAAGCGGTTTTGTTAAATCCGCTTCTTTTACTGATTATGTAGTTCCGCCATATAAGTTTTTTAGATAGCTTATTTTCAAGGAGCTGCGAGTCCTCGAAGTTAGTGAAAATTTTTTTTAAATCCCCCAAAGTCACCGAAAATCACTTAAAATTGTGCAAAGATTTCAAAGTTACTTCAAAATCTTAAGACTTTTAACTAATTTGAAGTCTTCAAAAAACATCGGAACTTTCTTTAAGACTTCGAAGTGCGCAGTCCCTCTCTTAGCCAATCCCAATGTAGAACCTGTACTACGAACCTTTCAACGAAGGAAAATTTCTCTTTTATTTGCAAGTTTTGGATTTTTTTAAATATTATTTATAGCTACAACTACGCATTATGTACAGATTAGCTTCTTTCCGTGATGTACTGAAAGTTGTACAGTAAGAACCACCACAGACAATCAACATCCCACGCGTACATTATGCTGTCACGCACACACTTTATATATATTTAATATCTTTTAATTTCTTTTTTTTTTCATAACAATTCATAGCTTTTCACTCTTTATCCGTATTTATATCACATTGTATAATTAAGGCCCTATCTTACGCTATTCACACATTAGACACTTTTTTCTTATACCGGCTTTGCTTTTGCGTACTGCATTGTACCTCCGAGTTATTATTATTATTTTTTTTTTCATATTATTTTGTACACGGAATCATCAAATTTTCGGAAAATATGGAAATGCATGGCATCTTTCGCTTAATTTGTATTCAAGTTTATTTCGAAAAATTATCGTGAGGCAGACGCGTCATTTTGTCAACAGGCATATAGTATTATAAATATACTTTTTACACTTAAGCTTACACTGTGAGCTTATTTTTTTTGTCCTGAAGAAAAATATGTCTTTACAGCTGTATTTTATCAATGAATTTATGGATTTGGTGATTTATCTCGAAAGAAAATTCATATAGAATCCCCCCATTTATTATTGCAGACTCGTCGATCAAAACTGTATGTGATAGTATATTTTTATACAATTCGAACGCTTACGATTAACATTTTTTACAACTCGAGCATCATTACAATTTAGTTGTTCACAGTGATTTTTTTTCTGTCTGTACACAGATTGTTTTTTTTTTCTTCAAGTTATCGTTTAAATGCATGTGATAATCCAAAACTCGCACATTTCATTTGTATTGTGCATTGAATTTTTAATTCATGAACAACTGATGAACAAAATAATTATTGTTCATTGAGACAAAAATGTTGTCTTGGTAATGCTGTTTTTTAGTTTGTTTTTTAATGCTTGTGGTACGTACATACATTTAATTTATAGTGTTCTGTTTTATATCTCTTTAGTAAAGGTTTTTGGTAGTGCAGAAAAGAAGACATTTCCACAAAGATAATTTATTAAGTCATTAAAATATCTGAAGAAAAATTCTATGGTAATTTATGTATTTTTTGTTATTGCAAAAAAATTATTTAGAAATATTATAAATAAAGATGTTATTCACCGCTTTTTCACGCCCTTAAAAGTTATAACAAAAGTTTTATAAATAGTATTCTTCAAGACATAATAAATCTTCTGATAATTTTAAATAGAAAAATTTTCCCCGAAGGTTCAAAAATAGCGATTGATAAATATCAGCATGATATGAATATTATGCTTTTCCAGAGTCTTGTATTTTTCAAGTTTTCTGTTACACATACACAACTTGAATTCGCATAGCTGTAAACACATTCTGGTTTTAATACATCTTTTATTAAAAAAAATATACACATTTGTACATAGAATTTATTTTTTCCGAAAGTTTTTTCTTGAAATTTGAAAGGAGACACACGTCCCCTGACTTTCGGTTCTGTTATTGCTTCCGTAAAATGCCATTCCCGTTTATACAGACATTAAATTACAGACGAAAGTTTCTACTTTGCACGAGCGTGCGCTGGATTTCAACAGCGAAAATCGCAACCAAACTGTCATTACGACAGTGAGCTATACATGTATATATATTTTTTTCTTTTAAATTCTTCCATCGTACATAATAGAGAGACCGATGGGAAATGTAAAAAGAGTTTCGACACGTATATTTGTATGGAATAAATTTTACACATCAGCTACAATTTTTTTGTACATTTACGCAATTTTTCAATTTAATAGTAATGCCTTCAGATACCTTAGAAATAGTATAACAAAAAATGTAAAGTTTTTATAAAACTACTGTTGAGCCGCAAATTGTAAGAAGATGATGTATCGAGAAGCCACATTTTTTTGATCGCCACAATAAATATTAAACTTGTCAAATTAATAATATCAAAAATTTGGAAACAATACAATTACCCGAAACATTTATAAAAATTGTTCCTTTATTCATACTCGTCGACCAGCGACGATTGTTTTTGCTATGTCGAGCATTTACAATTCACGGCGAGGATAATAGAGTAAAGACAGATATCGACGTGCATGCCCATCGATCATATATTATACATTTTTTTTTAGATTAGTTTTTTTATTTATTTATTTACAAAACAATTATCTAAGCACTGGTTCTTGAATGAGTTCCAGTTATTATACATACAATTCGAAAAATTTTACACACAAACTTTTCTCTGTTGTTTTTAACAATGTACAACGCTTTAGAAATCAAAGGGCCCATTTTTACATGATATTTCATAAGTTCGATCAACACACAGTAGGGAAAATTACGGATCCGAAAAAATACACGTTTATTTTTTACCCATTACTTTTGTTTCACATCGAATCGTTGGGTAAATTATTATTTTTGTTATTACTGCTACGTACAAGTTGGTGTAAGCTGACTCATTGTTACAGTTGAAAAATTTACATTCGTAGAGATCGCATGCTGATTGATGGATTTTCATTCGGAAAACGTCGTTTCTCTCTTTGCAAACTCTCATTACGGTGTATATCTATAAAAAAAAAAAAAAAAAAAAAAATCGCACGTGCCTAGGCTATGGAATGATATCAGGAGGATTTATTGAGGAAGAATTAAAGTTTTGGATATATCATGATAAATATATGCATCTGCAGCTTTGGAGGCTCTTTCGATAAAGGTATATTATAGACGCGTCGAAGGAAAAAAAATTATCGACTGGAGTGTATATTGATTATGTGTAAAAAATTGTGTTTGACTGAAAATCTAAAAATTTGTGTAGATTATATATTTTTTAAGATAAACGTTGTTTAACAGTGACTAATTAAAATGAGGTGCTTTTATCAATTTAATTTTTGTTTATTTTTTTATTAGAGAATAAAATTGAACGATGTTCGTAAAATTTTTAATATAAAAAAGTGATAAGATGTATTTAATACTTGTATAAATTGTATCGAGTAAATATTGTTGTATAATCATGTCTTTGACGTTATCAGTCGATAATAGCAAATATACTTGTATAATATGAATATGTATAGTGTATATTTATTTATTTTTTAATATTGTATACTTAAAAGCCATTATATTGGAAATACTGCACTTAAAATTAAGCAGATCAAGTTAATATTTTCAAAGTTAACAAGACTCTCGATCGGTCGCGTCAGATGGTAAGTACATACTTGCTTATTCATCGATAGACTATGCAAAATATGTTTAATAACAAAAGTCATGGCGTATCAAATTTTGGCTCGAAAAATTGTTCAAAAAATCTACAGTACATAAGTTACAAATCACCAAATGACTCGTAACGCGTCAATTACGTTTTTCTACACTGATATTATCAAACTGGGACTAACGCAATAGACTAAAATATTATAAGTATTATAAGAAGGATCAAATTGTTTACATGATTTGACGTGCGATTGAAAAATTTGGAAGTAGAGATACTCGTATATGACGGCGAAGTGGTATATTTTTATCTCGACTTTACTTTTGACTTTTTAATTCTTCGATATGTAACTTTGTTAGATAAATAATGTACATTTAATGTAGATACGATATGTGAGATGATCAGACTTGAGCACCATTGTTTTAAAAATTTCTACTTTTGTTGGAAATACTTTTTTTTCTGTTACTGTAATGTATCATATGAAACTCAAATTTTTTAAGCCAACGTACTTTTATAAATTAAAAAAAAAATATTCCAGCTCAAATAATGTATTACACTTTCAGAAAACAACTACAACTCAAAAAAATATCCGGGGTCAAGTCTCAAGATGATAAATAATAAAAATATGTTATTAAAAAACTTTGTTCTATTTTATATTATTCTTTGTGCGTTTCGCGCTCGATAAATACCATGTGATTTAATCACTTAAGCAAGAAGAAATCGCTACTTGTATTCGATTGAAGACATAACCTTTTTTTTTATTTATTAGTTAATTTAACTGACATTTTTACTGAAAAAAAACCGACTTTTTATTTATTTTTAATTTTTATTGTATAATATGACGTAGAAGATAATTATTTGTTACTATTAATTCAAAAGATTTCCTTTTATTAAATAAATTAAATTGAAAAAGCCACTTTTGCCAGTATTTTGGATGAGCGCGAATAATTTTGCGAGAACAACAATCTCCAGAAAAATACTAACATTTTGAAAAATAATGCGAATCATCGAAACTAATGAAAGTGTCTTTTTCAAAATAATCAGTGGAATAAAGGAAAACATTTGACGCAACAACTAGAGCATTTAACGAAAACCGGTCCACGAAAAGATCTCCCACTTCTCGAGACACCTTATTCTCGCCTCATATTCTTTGTATTAACGGACAGCAACAGGTCAAGTATTTCATTTACACTATGTACATACACTCACACCAGCGCACAACCGTAGATGCGATTCTCTCGATCAAATTGAAAATTACACAGAAAAACGAACACGCGTAATTCAGATATTATGTACACAATTAGTCTGTACATTATTACAAGAACGCCATTTTTACAAGTTAGAGATGCTCTTCCGCCGCACAATTTACGCGCGAATATGCGTGTTGATAATTGTTAGATACATGTATTCCGAAGGAGGGCAGTGCGAGGAAGGGATTCGACAATCGCTTGGCGATCGCGGACCGGCGCGCGTGCGATGGCGGAAGTACAGAGGAAAGGGGAAGAATGTACAAAAATATCGAGTGCACTGCGGTCGTTTGACTTGATTTTTACTCCTTTAAATTTTTGTTTCCTTTTTTGTTTTGGTAGGCTAAGTTTTTTGTCGAGCTGCTCCCTTAGATCTCGGTGCCGCAGTCGGTTGATGAATCGTCTCCACTGGGTCGGCGATCTGAAATAGCAATAGTTTTTGTTTCAGAATTTATTACCAGACTGATGGCGATCGTATATAATTTTTTGTCGTAACATATTCTCCCGGAGCAAAGTGTATAACATATACGATTGATAATTTTTTAAAAAGGCAAAGCATAAGGTGGATATATTTTCCAGCCAAAAAATGGATCCCAGTGGAGGATCTACCAATAATCAGTAGATAAGCCAAGATATGGTCAGACACACGACACCCTACACTCATAAATCAGTTGCAAGGAAGAAGTAAAAAAAAATGTATGTATAAAATTGTGATAGATGAGTGTTACTCTCTGAAAGGTCCTCACCCGAGAGCTGGGCCTCGACTCAGCTGAACGGATGAAAGGTGAGGGATCGCGACTCGGGCAATCGACGCAGCGTCCTGATAGCGGAGTACAGGGTCGTGTGGCCGGACTCGGCGTCCCCAGCGCTGAACCGATGCCTGGCCTTCCGATGGTGAGCACCACCGCCCCCATCCCAACAGTTGGATGGCGTCTGACTGATCCTCGCCGAGGCCCGACGCTCGAACAGATAGTCCCGGCCACCTTTGGAAATTTCTTGGATTAAATAACAGAAAAAACAGCGGAAAAAGAAAAGGTCGTATACCAGGCGATTCAGAGGGTGACTGCGCGGTCGAGGAGCCAAGCAGTGGAGTGAGGGGTTCGTAGGGCGGGGGTGGGGGCGACGAGGCCGAGGGCGTGGGCGAGGTCGAGGCAGTCACGGGCATGAGCATCATCATCATCTGCTGGTGGGGCGAGGCGGCCGAGGAGGACGAAGGGCTCAAGGGCCTGCAGTGTCTCAGCTGCTCAGGCTCGAGGATGAGCCCGAGGAGGCCGAGGACGCGCTGGGGCTCGGCCCTGACCCAGGCCTCCAGCAGATCGACCGGCCAGTCCGTTTGAGTCGTCTGGTCGACGAGGAGGACGTTCGAGGAGGAGTCGATCATGCCCGAGGGACACCAGCAGAGCGCGTCTGGTAGGTGGGAGGAGCTGCGGGCCAGGAGGCCCCCGCTCGACAGGACCATGGCTCCCGGGTGGCCCGGGCTGCCAGGATCGTCGTCCCGGCCGCCCGGTGTTGGCAAATTCGGGTTACTCTGGGGCGAGCCCGTTATCAGCCGCAACGTTTGGATGGCATTGCGCACCTGCAACAGAACAAGGTGTAACTCGATTGTTATGTTGGTTTACGTTGTACTGAGCGTAACAATACTGAAAACTGGAGTCATGTATGCTAACTTTCCAAAAGTAATTTAGTCTAAAACTTTTTTCAACGAAACGCCACTTTGGAAAGTTGCATTGTTGCATCCCCCCCCCTTTTTTTGTTACACCGTGTGCAATGACTGTCCGTATAAGGTTTTGGGGCGCACCTCGCAGCTGAGGGTCGCCACGTCCTGGTGTAGCGTCAACACCTGCGTGTCCAGTCGCTCGACGGAGTTGCGCGCGTGATCGTCCCCGGCATCCAGACTCATCGCCTGGCTCGACCTGCCCTTCAGGACTCCTCGGGGCGGCCTCTTGTTGCTCTGGTACTCGTCCCTGAACCAAAGGAGCACATTCATTACATGTAGATCCAACGCAAGGTTAATTGTCCACATTGTATTGGCGTACCTGAACTTGGCATGCCGAGGACTCGAGGTGGCGTGGAGGGGCGATCTGTTCGACGGCGAGAGTGGTGAGGTCTCGCCCTCTTCCGGGACGTTCTCGTCGTCTTCGCTAATCGAGGGTAGGGTCAACGACGGGCCGCCGTTCATCTCGGACTCGGCCTATTTGATTGCGTCGAGTAGGGCGTGGAAATATAAAGTGGGCGTGTTTTACCAAAGCGAATATGAAATTTTTCATCTTCAGTTCGGAGATTATGTTTTTTTTTTTTTTTTTTTTTTNTTTTTTTTTTTTTTTTTTTTTTTTTTTTTTTTTTTTTTTTTTTACCAATAAGCTACGGTGCATTCTGAACGTGGTATTCATGCATAGGTATTTAAAGCTAATTGAATGGATTTCTAAAAAAAGGCGGGTTGACTAGGAGGTTGAAAGTATTACTCGTGTGTCTATGTCATGCAAACTCTATAAACTCAAGTGACAAGTAATCTATGTTTTTTTTTTCTCTATATGAGAAAAAAGTGTAGGAGCCAGATTACGAGGTTTTCAAAGAGAGTGAGAAGGAACGTGTCTTTTAAAAAGTAAATAGTTTGATTTTACTCATACTACCTGAATTTTCTCTCTCTAACAAATACAAGCAAACAGTGGTTACAAAACAAACAAAAAAATACACCAATTAATATCCTCATGTTACGGAGCAGGTGATTATCATAAATTAATGCGCACACGCACCCACAACGTAAAATATGTAAAATAACACAACGATAACATCAATTATTAAAATTTAAAAACATTTAATTTTGTATATGACACAAATGTCCTCACGCGACATACACTCTTAAAACACACGTTTAATGAATTAAAACAAAAGAAAATGGAAGAAAAAAAAGTCACCATACAAACCTCAGCCTCGTAGCCCTCTCGCAGGTTGTAGGTGAGATCGTGTTGTATGTCGTGAGCAAATTCGTGCTGGTACTCGGGATAAAGTCGCAGCACGTCGACCAAGCCCTGGACGTGGACGCACTTGAGATCACAGTAGGTGAGAGCCTTGACGTCGCAGCTGGACTTGATGATCACGTCGGTGGTCGAGGAGCCACTGCCCCCGCCGTTACTGTTGTGATGCAGGTGTACGTTTATATCGCACCCGACTAAATCACCTTTGCCTGAGGACCACCGAATTGTTAATTTATTATTGATATTTGTAATGGGTATAGGTGATGGTGTTGTTGACGCAGGTATTGTACTTTTATAAAAAAAATATCAAGCTTTGTGTTTATTTGTTGTACATCATTGTAATGTACATATTTGCCTTGTACATCACCCCACAGATATCATACACCACAAGCATTCATTTTATCGTGAAATGATGAAAACATGTATTTTTTTGGTGTCAAAAATTATATATGTTTTTGGTTGTGTGTTTTATTGTAGCTACATCGAATAATAATAATAATCTTTTAAAGCCGATGAGTCAGTTATAATGGATTGTTTGCTTTGTCACGTCGTTCGATTTTATTACGAAAACATTACACATATGTACTCTAATAAAAAGCTTTCATTAAAATTCGGTGCAATGCCTTTTACGAGGGAGAAAAGATGCATTGTAAGGAAAAATTATTTTAACTGAAAATATAGATGGACCCAATAAAAATTTAATTAGTCAACATTTCGTAAAATCCGCTAAATAAAGAGACCATTTTTACAGCAAGTACGAAAGCTTCAAATACATACTAATCTTCTCTTTTTTTTTATCGAATAAAATAATCAATACTTTTATAAATGGATGAAATTGGATACCCGGAAGCTACTCAACCACCCGAGCATTAACAATTTCCGTAAAGGACTCGGCTCAATTTTTTTACTGTCAGTCAAAGCCTTTAATTTTGCCAACGTACTCGTGTATGAAATATAAATGAAATAAAAAAATTTTATTGTACAAAAGAATTTTTTAGACGCGACAGACGCAACTTTTTGGGAGGAAAAAAAATAGTACAATTCCGAGTACTGCCACTGCAAAGAAAGAAGCTTACGTTGAAATCGAACGAGAGACTACGATGTGCTCTTACACGCCTTAGGACCAAGGAACCAGGGCAGCGCGGTACAATATATGCCAATAAATTTTTCATAAATATGCAAATCCATCGTACTCGGCGTCTTCAACTTGTTATTATTCTGTCTTTTATTCCTGGGCACGAGATTATTCACGCAGAATGCGAAAACGAAATAAATTCCTCTTTCGGTGTGTACCACACGTGCCAGAGCAAACAATTCCTATACACGGTGCTCATTTTCGGTGTCGTAGTCTCTGGTTTCTTTTATTCATGCGCGTCGTATGATATACAGACCCAAAATAGCGACGACCATGTCGTTCTGCACGACCTCCATGGAGCCGTTGCAAAGGTAGTACATGTAGGAGAGGGCGTCGCCCTTGTGGACGAGGTATTCGCCAGGGGCGCAGAAGATGTTGCGTATGTGGAGCGAGAGGAGCTTCAGGCAGCCCTGCGATGCAGCCTCAAATATGGGTAGGCTCAGGATCTCGCGGTGCAGGTGCATCGACACGTCGCCCCGTAGCTCTTCCGGGAACTCTTTCAGAGTCTGTGGGTGTGCACATTGCGTCAATGCATAGAATCGGGATTCGAGGATTTTTTGGATTGGGTAAATGTGTTGCTTTGGCTATGGATTTTTAATCAATTATTGGATAGTCCTGCGAATTTCGCACTCACACGTACAATTTTTCTTTCGCGTGAAGTGATATCCAAAGGAAGATTATTTATTACTTGATTGATAGCGTGCATCGGCCTATGATAGCCTATTGAATATTATAGAGTGAGTGTTAAAAATTGATTTCAAGGATTATCCGAAAAGTGGCGTGAAATGGATACTCCGATGATTGCGTGTTGTGCAGGTTTCGTTTTAAGCCGATTGCATAAACTGTCCTTTTAACTGCATCAGTTTGACATCGATTCATTGGTGTTGTACGCAATCCATTTCAAATATGAATTTAGAAAAAAAAATATTAAGCAAATAAAAATAGAAAGCAAAAAATATTAGCAATCCCGTTGTTCGTATACTGTGATTTACAAAAATAGGTTACTGACTTGCTGAAGCGTAATATATTAGTTTCAAACGTAATAATGCAGCATTGAATAAACAAAAAAATAAAATAAATAAATATGCGTGTCAATGCCAACTCAAAAATACTTTTTTGTATATTTTTAATATTTATAAATACCGAATAAAAATTAGTTACGAATATTATGAGAAGTAAATGTATCTCAAAACACTAAAAAGAAAAAAAAAAAAATTTTATAAACACAAACAAACGTACATCCTTTGATTTAGTGATGGCCTATTTTTAGTGATTAAAAAAGGTGTACCTCGTGAATGTCGATTCCATGATTGAGCGACCACATAGTTTGAAAGTAGTCTTGCATCCTTTGCTTGAGCTCGTCAGGAATCTGGTGCAACACCAGAAAATCCTTGAGATCTCGCCACTTTGTCTGGTACAGGGATCTTCGCGAGTACATTCTCTGTATAATAGCCGTCACGTTACCGAACACGACTGCGTGCATCAGTGCTGTTAAACAGGAAATAAATTATATTATATTCAAATTATCCCACGAAAAATTTTAATTCATTTTCATTTCAATTAAGTGAGTATTTTCTTTTCTTCCTGTAGATCACTATGACAGATCATACTTAATACACAACGCAGCGATGAAAGGAAGAAAAAATTTTATTCACGAAAATTCAAAGATAAACGTTGTTTTGATGTACTCAGTGCCTGGTCGAGAACGTACCTCCGACGAGCATGGTGCAGACGGAGAAAATTTTCTCAAAAGTCGTGTTGGCGGACACGTTGCCGAAGCCAACTGATGTCAAGCTGCTGCAGGTGAAATAAAGCGCCGTGATGTAGCTATCCGCGTGGGTCACGTTGCTGACGTCCGGCAATTTCAGTCTGTCCGACAGCGCGTGGATCCATCCTGCCATAAAAAGAGGGATAAAACTTTATTGATCCAGTGAAAAGTTAATCCTCGAAAATCAAGCTGAAAATTTCATCCAACAAACTCTCAATGTCCATGAAACTTCCGCGTTTTAAAATGATTATATTTTACCTCTATTGAGCAAAAATGTTTTTAATTTCATATGCGTTTGGTGAAAATAAACGTATGCTACTCAATGCGTTTTGCTTTTGGCCTGGAACTTGTTATGGATTTTTTTCTGACTATATCCATGTTTTTCTACTTAACAACTCAATGCATTGCGCTGGAACTAGAAATTTATTCCGTCTGACTGTACCAGTATTTTACTACTTAAGTAAAAAAAAAAAACATTTTGAAGAAAAGTGTCTCAGATTTAGAACTAAACATATACAATTAAATGTCTTTTACTGAGGCTTCAAATAGATTGCGTCTGACTAAGTTGAACTTTTTCCACTTAAAACTAAAAAGTATACAACATTCTTTACAAATGACATAGTTATATGTAATTTTAGTTGAGTTCTGTAAATAGTTTTGAAGTGATGATTAATTTTACTTTGTTCAATGCTTTTTGACGGAGCTGAAAATTGATTTTGTTTAACTGCACAAAAGTTTTTGTATACAAATTTAAAAAATGACAATTTCCTCTTTACAAAAACGATCACCGTTGTAAATATTTATACATTAAATAAACATATTTTAATCTCCATTTGCGTTACTAAAATAGTTTTTGAGTAAAAATTAGTTTTATCCAATGAAATTCCTACTGCTGAAGCTTGAAATGGATTGGGTCTGAATATATCGATGTTTTTCTACTTAAAATTTTAAAAATGCTTAATGCCCTGTAAAAATTTTATTATTATACTTTTAGAACAATAATTTAAACTTTTACATCATATTCTGAAAAAAAGACTTGGGTTATGATTAATTTTATCGAACTCGACACATTTTGTATAAACATGCAATTGATTCTTAAATTTTACTTAATGTCTGTTGAGTGAAAGTATTCTACTGACAAAAAGTTAATGGAAAGAGTTTTAGATGAATTGCATTAATCTGAATGCCTTTTGCTGGAGCTTGCAATGTGTTGTGTCTGACTATATTGATGTTTTTCTACTTAAAATTCAGTAGATGCTCAATACTCTACAATTATTTTACTTTATTCCCGTAAAAAAAATATTTACATATTTATTTAATACTATTAATACTTGAAAACGTTTTTNAAAAAAAAAAAAAAAAAAAAAAAAAAAAAAAAAAAAAAAAATTCAATCACAATTCTATCCTTGGTCTTTAAAAAACAGAATTGTATTTTCACTGTACAGCAAACAGATCATGGATGAAGATAAAAAATTTTCGCCTCTATTGTAGTCAAAGATACAACGAGGACGGAAATCCGAGGATAGTTAGTTTAGTCTCTCCGCTCTCTCCCGCAAGACACTTATTGTATATACTTTATCGATTCCAAAGTAACATTACCACGAATCTTGAAACGGTATGGGAGCTCGTGTCGCGTGACTTGATACTCGGGTATTGTTTGGCCAGGCTGACGATGATAAATAATGAAAAATATTCTTACTTCTATATACATTTATAAAGAGAGTTTTTGGGTGATAATTAATTGTATCTTACTCAACGCATTTTGCTGTCATGCTCAATGCATTTTGTCGTTGATAAATAATTATCAATTATTACTAATAAAATATAAAAAATGCAGTCGAAGTGATTTAATGTACAATTCATACGCTTAAATATTATATTCCGTAGGTTGGTTCAAATTTTCCGGAAAATTTACCGAATCAGGCAAAAAATATATATAATACGCCTTCGATGAAAAATACCCTGCAGTATGCCTTGCTCCTTATTTATTACTTCATTCAGAGCGTTAGCATGTACGGCATTAAGTTTTCTAGACACACAATACGATTGGAGAGAGAAAAAATGAGAGATACAGAGAGAAATGGATAGTCAGAAACAAGAAATCATTTTTCACCTGTCAAAGCGAGCTGAAATGATGGAGGGTGAAAGTAAGCTGCTGTTGTTTCGAAGATAAGCTTTCTTGAACTTTTTTAATGAAAAGAGGAAAGTCCCAGCATTTTTAGCTGAGAAGTTATGAATAAGAAAGGTGCATTGCACATGTTTGAATCAACAGTAATTATTGCAGTTTATTGTACTTGGGTTCTTTGATAGTAAGAAATTAAAGACTTTCCACAATTTTGAAAGTCGCTTGAAGCAATGAGAGTTGTTTGAAGTCATTTATAAACATTTCAGCTTTTTGGTTATTACAAAGTCTATCAAAGTTTCTGCAACTCAAAACTACTTCAGAATTATTATCGACACTTTAAAGCACGCAGCTCTAGGGATTAGTACAATTCACTACATTTTGCTGCTGACGTTTAAAATAACCACGAAGCATTTCCACCGGGAAATCGTACGAAATCTTCTGCCATGTGAAGTTTTTAAATCCGATTAACCTTAATTTTTCCCAGTACTTGCGCCGTTTGCTCTTTTCTTCTTTTCATTTCCTGATACTCCTCTCCACTTGTTGATTTCTCGAACTGCCCTGCACGGAGTAACAGATCCAGAAAGGATGTTTGGAAAATTCGTTCGCAGCATTTTTCTTTTGTCCGTAGGGGCATTTTCTACTACCTTTTTGAAATTTAAGTGATTCTTGTTCTAGCGTGCACTTAACACAAGATGGCGAGTGAAACAAAGAAACACTCGTAAATACCGAAATAAGAAGGAAAACTACGGTATCACAAAAGCCGATAAGAAGTTCCGCAAGGTCGCCGAGAAGAACGAGGGGACCATGGAAGCTCAGCGTTTCTCGTGTAACCTTCTCTCGTTGGAAAAAACACGCATTCCCAAGGGGATCGTAGCCATTTCTTATAAGCGAGATTTCGCTGCCTCGTGCAGGAGAAAAGCTACTTGGAAATTTTTAATTTACGGACGTTTACATGTTGATTTAAGGCAGATATTGCTTTATTTGACGTCATTTCAGGGACAAAAAGTTTCGAAAACAAAGCTTTTCATCCGGAATCGGGGAAATTTTATCAAGGTTTGAGTAGGATTACTCACTGAAAATTTAAATGTACATCTTACAAGCAAGAATAAAAAAAAAAAAAAAAATTGGTTGTCAAATCCGCGTGCTCAAACTTTTAATTGAAAAACTTACAACCCTTATCGTTACGAGCGCAACACGCGCGAGATCGAAAAAATCAAGTCAATTACCTCGCAGCCATCGAGTAACCCCCAAGAATTCCCTGAGCGCCAATCCCCAGCCTTACGCTCCCCTAACCGTATTAACCCCTTGTCTCCCCGTCGCGTCGGACCTCACGTACACCAGCTCCAGAGGTCATTAAAGACGTTAAGCCGCGGGGCACGTGCCCATACAGATAAAACGAGTTTCTTACATCCTTTCGCGCTTTTTTTCTTTTTCCATTCGTCGCATGTGATTTTTGCTCGTGATGTCGTTGTCTTTTCTCCTTGTGTGTACTTGTCGGTCTTGAAAGTGAAAAGAGTACCTACAGAAACCCCGTCGTGGTGAGACTGACTGTTCCTTGAAAGTTTAGCATGAGGGACTACGTATTTCCTTCGCCGGTGTGGGTGTAGGTGTTGATATCAGGGTGGGGGTGTATTGCTTTTTTTTTGTTAGAAAGATCTTTCGAGTATTGGTTTCGTTCAAGTAAAGTTTACTCATTTAAGTTTGATAAAACCCTCAAGCTTTTTTTTGCTCAAGTAGAAAACTGCATCTGTGCGTTGTTTCAAAAACAACAGGTTTGTCAAAGATATGCACACGTGTACGAAATTATTAATCATACATCGTGCTAATAGCACAAAAAATTAATTTCCTTCCAATAATAAAAAGGCTTTCGAAGATTGATATTTCCCAATAAGATCGTAGAATGTTGGAATTATGATTTATCGAGTAATCGAATACGATGCAGTGGGCTAGAAATACCATTAAAGTCCACGATCTCAATTTTAGCGGTGCTAAGACAAAAAAGATGAAAAAAGTACGGCCAAGGGGAGTATCCATTCATGCTAATTACCAGAGGCGCAGGGGAGAACTTTTTGCTGAGATTGCTAAAGTTCTTTTTCTTCGCTGATATCGCATCAAGGATATTCGTGTTAAATGATGGTCTCATTTCGTTTCTTTTACCAGTTGGGCTTTGCATGTGAGCAATTTCGCCCCCCCCCCCCGGCTAAACTTAAATTTACCGAGTTTTCCCGTCTTTTGGAAAAGTTGTAGGTCAACTCAACGCAAGTAAATTATGAACAATTGGGTAAAATGTAAATTGTGGGTTTCAAAGCACTCCAACACGCATACCAGGTATAAAATAGGGTAAAAAAAAAAATCTAAACTCACCGAGATTCCACTCCTTGTCGCCATCCCTCTGATGCTTTGCCATTTCCTTAGCTGCGATGACATACCAGACGCAGGCGAGCCAGTGGGCCACCAAAGTAAACGATAGCATCAGCATCGTCAGTATGATGGCACTGTATTGCGAGTATCTGTCCATCTTTTGCAGTAGTCTGGCGAGTCTTAGCAGCCTCGTCAGCTTGACCAAGTGGATGTGACTTGCGCTCGACTCCTACGAGGTGTAACAGTATGTGAATATTATTATTATTGTTATTATTATTTTTTTTTAGTGTCAATATTTTTTAGATTTAACTTTGCTAGTAAGAAAGACAAAGAAGATTTATAGGGTAGTTCTTGTTGTATTAACGACATCCTTGGGGCAAAGAGACAAACTTTTAAAGTGTCCAACGAGAGTGATTTGTTTGCTTGATTTTATAAAGTTACTATCGCATGTTTGGATCGACAACCCTAAATCATTATAATCCCATGGTACAAATAAAAGTAAAAATGGAAGCGGATGCACAAATTTACATTATTGATTACCTTTTTTAAATTGATATAATTTGCTATTATTTTGTTCCTTAGGTAATTTAAAATTGAAAAAAAAAGTAAAAAAAAAAAAAAAAAAAAAAAAAATTCAATCACAATTCTATCCTTGGTCTTTAAAAAACAGAATTGTATTTTCACTGTACAGCAAACAGATCATGGATGAAGATAAAAAATTTTCGCCTCTATTGTAGTCAAAGATACAACGAGGACGGAAATCCGAGGATAGTTAGTTTAGTCTCTCCGCTCTCTCCCGCAAGACACTTATTGTATATACTTTATCGATTCCAAAGTAACATTACCACGAATCTTGAAACGGTATGGGAGCTCGTGTCGCGTGACTTGATACTCGGGTATTGTTTGGCCAGGCTGACGTCTTCAACTAATTTTCTTACCAATAGTTTGTAGAATCGTTTATGACAGGTATATTTGTACGGTTGAATGAGAGCTAATTTGCGTCGTAATGAGTATTGCGTGAGCTTGATGGTATACCTGGTAACTTTGTATAATTATGGAATCTTCGGTTCAAGCTAATGGTGGCAAATATTGCTTTCAATCGTCAATTGATGAATTGTATGATTAAGAACGTCACTCGTAATAAACTTTACGTTGATATTTCACAAAACCTGTCGAGCATCTTGTGCCAATAACTATACAACAATGGAAAATAATGGCGTCCACATCCAGTGACAATCCATCCATATTGCTTATATAAATTTCCTTTCGCGATATCGAGAGAACGGTAGAGTTATACAAGGGCATCGAAGCAGCGGATGCAGCGAGACGTAAAAGGATTCCTCTATTCGTGATAGCGAGGGAGCAATTTTCCACGACAAACGAACTCCATTCAGAGTTATATGCTTCAGACGAGAGGAATTTGACGGCACAACGGTGCTTCTCTGCCTCTTTTTTAATGCGTGGCTATTGATTTGCAACTGGGGAGCGCCTGATTTTAAAGCAGATCCTCGTGATACGAGATGAAAAATTTGTGACGTTGGATGACATCGTTAGAGTGTCGTAAATTGTATCTTCTTTTGCTATGATGTTGTTTATTTTGCCAAGTACGTACAACGCTCTAGAAAGTAACTCATTCGTTACGATCGAGAATTTATGGATTCGAAAAGGGCTGATTATGAGTACTAAAAATCAATGTGTCTACGAATAAAATAAAAAATTTTACCGAAAGAAATTATCTGAAACGTGATTAGAGCAAATTTGAAATTAAGGATTAGTTCTTACTGTATTAGACAATGAGAGCCTGAAATGACAAGAGAGTTTTCATGGCCGGTTACACCAAAAATTGTTTAAGAGGCCTGCTTTTTTACCAGATTGTTTACTAAAACATCATATCTTATTTAAGATTTATAATCTCAATGCACATATGGCGCTGCTGTGTACCTTTGTAAAAATATTTGCTCGAGTTGGATACTGATAACATTTTTGTTGAAAATTCAATGCTCTCAGGTCGGTGCATGATAAGAGTACGACACCAACATACGGTACAGGTACCATTTTATAAAGAGGATGATAGCCATTTCCTCGATTGACTTCGTCGAAATTTGAGCTCGACTCAAAAAGAGAGAGAGAGAGAGAAAAGAAGTATAAAAGTAAAAACTACTCACATCACCGCTGTACAAGTCACTCGCGTACAACAGATCAAAGGGCAAAGCTGCAACGAGGTCGATGGCGAACCAGCTTTTGATGTAATTCACGGCTATGCTTTTGCTGTTGCTCACCACCTCGCCCTTAACGCTAACGTACGTTGTCCTGAAGTTGAGCACGATGTCTGAAAATTTTTAAGCAGCGAGTGAAAATGTTATCCATACACCTACTCTTTTTATTACATTTTCTAAAAATTACAAGTTAAGCTTTGAAAATATACTTTGGGGTAATGATCTTATCCCCCTTGTTTACTTTTCGACATTTGTTGAAAAATGCAAACGATCTCGATAATCGAAAGGCGTAAGTATTAGTCCTTTAAAAATGCAGATTCACATCCAGTATTCGAATACGTGCATACGCAAAACAAGAGGAGTACCGTGTTTGATTATTGCTACGCGTTTGGTTCGTAGATGCGCCGTACAAAGCGTTAGTTGATTATTGGACGCACCACTTGAACGCTGTATCGTTTGTCAGGTAATTTAATTACCGGCAGGATGCTGGTTAGATGAGGTGTTTGCCACTCGGTTGCATTTTTAAAGAAATTTGCAACATAATTGCGTGATGGTTGTACTCACGTTGGGTAAAAAAGACTATTTTAATTATGGATATTCGATACAGGAAAAAATTGGATTTCAATACAATTTCATGAAGCGGTGATGTATAACATAATTAGCATCTCGATAAAGTCAATTTTTTTCAAAAATTAATATTTCGTTATTATACTTTGACGCAATAACCCTATTATCAATGCAAACATAGTTGTTTAGCAAATGTTTTGACTTAGAATTTTTAGTCTTGAAAAAAAAAAAAAATAAAAAAAAAAAAAATTAATAATAATAATACAACTTTTTCTTGTGATTAAAATTTTTAATTTGTAAGAAATTGAGCGGAAAGCTCTTTTTGTTTACCGCACTAACTTGAAATAAAAAGAGTCCCCTCCCGTGGAGAGATTCCAATATATTGTAATCCCCTTGAATCCCATAAATAGCCGGAAGAGGGTGATAAAAGAGGAGGAGGGTTTAAAAGAAAAATTCACGATACGCCGCTGTTACGTATACCATGCAACGTAAACTCGGTGGCTCGTATTAACCAGATTATAAAGCATCGATTTCCATGTATATCATGCATGGTATAAAAAAAGGGGACGAGCGCTGTGTATTACACAACTGCGACGGCGCTTAAAGGAGAGGGAGAGGGATGGAAAAGAAAGAAAAAAAATACTTGCACCCGGGGAAAAGAATACCGAGTAAGTGGTCACAGGGAGAGTAAAGGAGTATCTTTGCCTTTCCTTTTTCTTTTTAGACTTGTCGTCTCGTGAGGACCATTCGGACGAAGCATGGACGAGGGGGGATAAAAGGGCAGAGGAAGAGGTTGCTCTGTTTCGTTCGTCGTTGGGGCGCCATTGATCCGAGAAATACTCGTATTTCTTCCCCACGGATTCCCCTTTGGATTCAGCCCCTGGTTTCTCTATGGCGTCCCTAGATATACGAGCACAAAAATATGTGCTTTTATTGATTTTACTTCCTGGTTTTTTCTTTTCTTTTTGGTATTTAATTTCCCTGTGTTTGGCTTGAACAAATTTTTTTTTTCACTTGGTGACCGAGTTATCGGATTTCTTTTTTTTTTTGTTCCCTAATCGTTTACATACATATTTTACGTGGCATATTTTATTAACTTGTTACAAAAGCACGAGGTCTGCCGAGCTTGAATTTTTTTTTGTGGTGGTTATAGCATCAAAAACGAAAAACAGATAAATCAAATAATACATAGAGATGAAATTTACATTTTTCACACTGAGTATTAAAAGTTTGTCAGCTTCGCGTCCATACACAGAATCCACGAACTCTCGAATTTGAGCACAGTGTGCGAAGTTCTTGAGATAAGCATAGCGTGAGAAAAGTGACTACTTTGCATACAGGTTCGTACAAAATTTTTTAAAACTTTACTAAACTGAGTGTCAACAAAAATAATCACCTGCTTTGTACACTTGTTGCATATTTAATCAAAATTGTGCTTTAAAAATTCTTATTTATTTACTTGAATCCCCATGTACTATTACTCTGTACATAATGCAGTGATGTCGGCAAGAGTTTTCTTTGCCTCCAATGTACCTCCGGTATGTTTTGGAGTCCAGATTTTCACGAAGCATTACCTGCGTGCTTGGCTATCCTGTCGTGCAAGAGAAATCGACCTCTTGAATTCCGCTCGCTTGTTCCACCCCTCGAATACTTACTTCATGCAAAGAATCCTTTCGGAAATGCGTCGTAGATTTGGGGAAGGGGGTGGTCGAGTGTTTGCAACTCGCTCATGTTTTCTTTGTGGTTTGGGGCATGCGAATTCCTGCGGCTGATCGAGAGATTTTTTCAGAGATTGTGCTTGCATGGGGTATTTCTTTTAAAAGTAAATGACCGAGCAAACGTAACTTTGTTTTTCTTAATATGTCTAGTACAGCAATTTAAACGAGTAATTTTTTTCCCTTCATCAATTAAAATCGCAAGCTTTTTCAGTTGCGGGTATCGTAAGCTTGAAACACTTCAACAGCAGCCTCGGGCGCAGTCGAGAAAACGACAAGAGATATATCATTTACTAAAACACTTCCTCACACATATACACACATACACACACACACGAGGACATGAGCTTATCAAGGACTTACGTCCGGCCGAAAGTGCAAACGTTTGTCTTTGGTGTATAGCCCTTGACTCGAGCTAACTAATTTTCTATTCACGTGTATGAGCGATTGCGCAAAAGACGCTATCTAGAAATCTGTAGATGGTACGATCAGTTTGCTTTACTTTCAGGATAAAATTGTATGGATTTTTTCGGACTAAAATTAACAGAAAATGAGAAAATGCACCTAGCGATTGTCACGAATACAGTATAGTTTTAACATGTTGCATCGAGTGAAATGGATTGGGAATGTAACCCATTACCACTGGGTTGAATAGTTTATTCTTTTATTACACAACCCTCAAAGCGAAATCAATAAATTTTTCGGTTACAAAGGTGGGGTTGAGAAAAATAGAATTTTTCAGAACATTTTCTTAAAAAAATAAGCAAAATAACCTTAAAAACCGAACAAAGTGTTATTTTTTCTATGTTTAGGAATGTTCTTATATTTCAGGAGGCACGTGGAAGATACTAATCTTCATTTCAAAAATGTGACTGCCAATTTTCGGGGACGCCTTATTAAGAAGTTTTTTTGAAGAATCGCCAATATATACCAGACGGTGTGGAAAATAAGACGTAAATAGGAGTGAGATGAAAAAAAAGGGGATCTCGATGTACTTCCGATGTCTCGATTGCTCCTGATCGCCGAGAGGTGCTTTAAATTATATTGGCAAAGCCAATCGTAGAAATCGATGCAACTTGAGTTTTTTTTAGTTTACGCTCTCGGGATCCAGAGTTTTATTTTTATATTCACTCAAAATAGGTCATGAATAAAAAGGGATTTATATATTTATTTGATTTAGAAGACTCGTGAGGGATGGGTATGTCTATGGGGTTAACCATTGTTTAGTGACTATTAAAAAAAATAAATTATTTGAAATTTAGCGTAGATATTTTCGTTTCCTCGTTCATTTATTACGTATGGATGTATAAAATACAGCAACTCTACTTGGACCTGGAGTACCTATATTATAACTTGCTAGGAGTTGGAGAATAACAGCTATACAAAATCAAAGGGAAAGCCAGTAGAGCTTGCTCATAGGTATATACACGCAAAGTGTACTCTGGAAGGGCGAGCCAGTCCTCGGAGGGATTGGCCTCAGACAAACGCACTTCGCCGTCGTTATCATATTGTAAATATATGCTCAGTGTCTGTGCGATGGTGATTTTTCTTCTTACGGAGGATGGTAAAGTATATTGGCACCTTGTATTTGATGAAAAGGTCGTGCGTGGCACATGAAGGAGCATAGTAAATTTTTTCCTTTTTTTTCATGGCTTATGTATCTACTTTGCATATAGGTGCTGGGAAATATTTTCCTTACAGGGAAAACAACTGGGAATTTTGTTTTCTTATCAATGCAAATCTTTCAAATTTTGGAAAAACAATAGATTACAAAAATGTGTCCATCCATCGTATTTCACAATATCTAATATATGTGCCACGATAAATCATTGCTTAATTTTAGGAAAAAAGGAAACAAAAAAAAAAAAAAACAACAAACCTGCGATGAAAATGACTTCGACAACGTAGTCGCTGACCATGGACGGGCGCTCGTTGTTGACAAAGCTGGCGTTGTAAGGCACGATCACAGCCACGTAGAGGGTTGCGATCAGTAGCAGCCAGTCCCAGCAGGTCTTAAATATTCCGTAGTGGCTCAATATAAACTGGGATTTTTTTATTGCCGTCGTCTTGTACTCGGGCAGTGGCGTCGTCTGTGAGTGACTCAGCAGCGTCTGCAACAGGTGTCATTGACATGTTTTTTTTTTTTTACGAAATTAGATTTTTCCTTCTCCACGGCTACTGTACAGTTTTTAAGAAAAATGATACTTCACATGGGGGCTCGAGAATAATGATGGCGAAGGGTTGTAATACAGTCCAATATCAACTCTATTAGTTTAAGATTTTCCATGTTGTTCCAAAAAAATCATTTATCACTGTCGTGAAGAAAAATGTTTAAAATTTTTGAAAAATGACAAGGGCCGTAATCGATAACTATTGTATTTTCAGGTGTTCCTTACTTTCATTGCAATAATATCTCCATTTTGAAGTAATCAAAGTGATAATTCTAATTCCACCACAATATACCACAATATTTTATTACCAATGCGAAAACACGAAAAAACATCGACACCCAAATCAATAGGATCTTGATCCATTGCATCTGTGAACAAAATTGAGAAAAACACCGCTGACTTGATGTCAATTAGCATAACACTCGTATCCAACTCTATGTAAACTATCAAGCTAGATCGACACATCGGCAATCGACTTTTCACTGCATACAGATCAGCCTTACACTTGTCACTGATCGAACGAAGGAGCGGATAAATACGCGACGCAGCTCGTACCTCCAAAAATACCGGGAGGTGATGAAACATAAATATTGCTACGCATAAGCTCTTGGATGCGTTTCCGGGATCGAGTAGCAATTTTATCGACCTTCTTACCTTGGACACGTTTTCGAGAGTACCAAGTCTAGCGGTCTTTCTGTTCCTAAAAACGAGGGGCTAACTTTGAAGGTTCGATGATTGCCTCAAAGTCGTTAAAAGGACTTCGACCGACTGACTAAAATCATTCTGAACTCCAGGAAGTGATTCAACGACTCTCGATGATTTTTGCTATTTCTCCAATCAACAAAATTGTTACGATGACTCGAAAGATCGATAACCATCCAACATTCGATGCGTTTGAAAGACTACTCCTGTAGTTGATTTGCAAAGGACTTCCGGAAGTTGACAGAAAAATCCTTGAATGTGGGGATACATGCACCTCAATACTTATTGGGCACGAAATTCCTAGTGAAAATCTTCTCCAAGTCCGCTGAAATCGAACCGCAGAGTGCAGCTTTCGTCGATCGGAGGGAAGCCAAGCACCACCCGAGCACACCAGCCAGAGGACGAAGCCAGCAAAAACACGGGGGGGGGGGGGCAAGGCAAAGGAGTGTGTTGAACTCGCAATCACGTTAAGGCAGTTTCGTGCCCGAGCCGTTCTCAAGTGAATTAACCGAGTTTGCGAGAGGACTATTAGCTTGCGAGCTCCTCTACGTGCATGTGGTGATAACTCGATCAGGCGAGGGCGACCATCCTCTTACCACCACGGGAATTTCGCTCGGACGAGCAACATTTTTTGGATGAGGGTTAAAATAGATTTTGATTTTTGAGCTTCGTTAGAGTGAAATTATCATTTTAACGATGTTGTCAATTTCGTTGGTAGGACGGGCGATTTGCCAAGTGATATTTCAGGGTGGATTATACACCCAGAGGGCGCAGGCGTAATGGCTTTCGGCGCGAGGGAGCTCGTGTAAGATTAACTCCCAGAGCTCATGAGCTCGTGTGGCTTAATTGCGGATGAGCTTCTTTATCGAGCGCTCGTTGGGGGTAGAAGCCGTTGCGATGATTATGTTTCGCGTGAAATTTGAGAAACATCGTTTTCACTCATACTATCATACAATATCTACTGTTGCGTGCATATGTTTACAATTAATCTACACCAAGATGATTCAAGTGCTTTCAATGATACGTGAATTTATGGATCAAATCATTGCAAGTTGTTTTTTTAAAGATAAATTGTAGTGGAGCAAGTAGAACAAGTCGAGTTTGGTCAGACGCGGAAACTGCGTTTCCCTGTTGCCATTATCTTGTTTTTTGAAGTCGTCATGTTTACTGTATACATGAATTAAAAGTAAGGACTTGAAATCTCAACTGTACTCTCTCCAAATAGTGTTTTTTTTTTACATATACCTTAAGGCCATTTCAAGGGACATTATAGATTAAACCCCGATACCGATCCAATGAGCTTATTCGGTACATTATAATCATAACTTTCCGCCGTCATTGGCGTATATTGGCCGTCAAAAGTAAAATTATGAAACAAAGGTGCGCGACAAACTTATGGAAGCAAGATAGTCTTAAGAGCGCACCCGCGAGAGACTCACTGCATACTTACGTTGTTCAATTTGATTTTATGCTTATTGTCCTGCTTGTAGTGGCCCGATAATTGATAGAGCACGGCTCGGCTCCTTCTTCTCCCGTAGTTCGCCGGTGGTGCTTCGGGGTCTAGGTTGCCGTTCGCATCTGCGAAGGTAAAACACATTATGCTCGCACGTGACACGCACGTTTTGCATCAGTCGAGGTGAATTTATCAAACAGGCGATAAAAAAAGTGATGCAGAGCTACTAGAGCTACTCGTGTTGGGTACGTGTTTTACTTACGTAACTTCGTCGATGGCGAATAAAAATTCGTTATTGTAGGGTGTATGGGCTCGTGCACGATTGGTCGTATATACTACTTTGAAAAGCGTTACGTAATCGAATAATGGTTTTTGAATTGCCGTGATGCAGCGAAAGTTGATTGTATGGCTGTGATATAGATACGTGTTTTTTATTTTTTTTTTATTTTGTAAAGATACAGCGTTACGTAAAAAATGGCGATTGCTGTTACGCAATGAAAAAATGTTAATCAACTAGCGAAAGCAATCAACGTCTTGTGGCTTGATACAATAGAATGGTAAAAGGATCTATGAGCTTGTAAAGTGATCAAATTATATTTGCTTGTTATATATTGCTTAACGATATAATATCTTTCGTTTCTCGTGCAAGGATTCCAGTGCCACGTGCGAAAAATGCAATATCTACTTCTAATTGAAAATGAATTGAAGTTCAAGTCATTGGGAAAGCGTTGTGTTGTGAAACTGCATTAGTGTTGATGAAGGAAGGATTGTCTGAGGCTCGTGTTGCAAAGAGGTGCTTTTTCAAAATGAACATCTATCTGTGTAGTGGTACATGAGAAAAGGTGAACAACTTAGTAAGTATCAAGATAGTAAATCGTGTACCCTGCGTATACACGTGTTGTAAGCTTTTATATTGGGTTTCAGATCGTGTTTACGCAGCGGGCTCGAGACAGCCATTCGACACTAACTTTCTAGCCGTATGTTTTTTTTTTTTTGTTTTTTTGTTTTTTTGTTTATTTCGTGAGTCTACTGGATATTGTGTGTTTTGTTGTTACTCTTCAGACTTTCATATGTCTTTTTAATGATTTTCATTGAAAAGATGATTTAATTGTGTATACTTATTTTAGTGGATTGCTACTTATTTTTAAACGCGTCATGTTACATTGGAGAAAAATAATTAAAAAATTTTTTTATTAATTTTTTTTTCTTCATATTAAAGATCTACAGCTATACTATAGAAATCGTCTAAATTTTAAATTTTCTGACTTTAACAAACTATTTTGGAAGTAACAAAAAAGAAAAAAAACAGACCAAAGTCACACTGTTTTATTATTTTTATCGTACAATTCGTTTAATAGTATAATTTTAGGTATTTAAATTGATACATCAATTAACCTCGCACCAAATTTATTAAACCCGAGCCCCGATTACGCACAGCCACAAGACGATTTTTTTTTCTTCTCGTTTCTATATAACCTTCGGTTTTTCCTTACTTAATGGACTCCACGAGTCATCTTGATCTCTGAAGCAAAAGATACGCGAGAAATGAAAAATCGCGGGAATGAAAGGGTCGACTTGATTTGTGGAAAAACTCTTACCCGCTTATGCCACCCCCTTTTTTCATTATATCTCTCTCTTCTCTCATCTCTGTCATCAACTGAAAAGCCGTAGTATATTTTTGTTTTGAGAAACTTTCAATACAAGTAACAAACGTTCTATGATTCTGATACTGCATCGAAACATCTCAATAAATAAAAAAAAAAAAACTTTTGTTAAAACTTCTTCATAAAACTGCAGTATTAACGAAACCTGACTCTCTTTCATAAGCCTCGATTATTCCACGTGATTTGTTACATTGTTTTATCACAACTTTTCGCTATGCTACACCGTGACTCTCGGCTAAATTTTTACCACGTGACTAGTATTTTAATAAAATCTTGTTTGAGCTTTTCGAGCTTGTAGTTTGGCTCGGGGCTATGGTAAATACTATACGTACGCTTTCAGGATTGACTGTTGATTTTTTTTTTTGCACACACATTTCAAACAAAAACGAGGAAGGATAAAACTAAGGGTGACGAGATTGGGGCTGAATGATGGGGCTTCTGCAAGGTTAAGAAAATAACTCGTGTAAATGGATACATCTATACACGTATGTATGTAAATATTTTTTAGGAAGGGAGAAAAAAAAACAAATAGAGGAGTACACATCTCTCTTGATGCGCAAGCGTATAGCGTGTCTAGTTCTGGTCATTGGCGTCTGCGATTGTGTGCCTATGCCTGGGTATGAACTTGAAATTATTTTTTTTTGTTTCGTATATAGGTCTTATATCTAAAACTGCTTCTTCGAAAAAAAAAAAAAAAAAATTACTCGATGGTTCGTCGTATAAAATAAAAGTAAATTTGAAGTTGTACTACTAGTATTTTTTTTCTACAAAAACAAGCAAAAATTTGAATCCGTTTCTATTATCACTTAGACAATTTTTAATTACCAACAATAATATAATTATTGATTTATAATCAAGTTGAGATTCAATTAAGTACTTCACCTTGACTTATCGAAATGAAATATTATAATACTTTTTCTTCATTTTATTCTCAAGGACCGTGAATTAAGCAAGAAGACAAAAGTATGAGAAAATCCAGCGTCAGAAAGGAGTTTCGTCCGGAAGAATCGGGTCATTTCAACAGTCGAATTTGCTTCTAATTCGCGATTTTATACACCTTGAATTTTTTTCTATTAAAAAAGATTTATTCTTCTCTTTTCTTCATGACATAAGAGCTTCACTTTCATCTCATCTAGTTAAAATGAAAAATGGAATCATAAAACGTTGTCTTGAGCAAACAACTATTCTATCAATAATTAAAATAATATTTTGATACCATCTTCGGAGATCCATTGAATCTGTGCAAGTAAAATGATTTGTTAAAGGTAGGAAAATTTTCTTTATTTACTTTTTCACTACTGTTGTTACAAAGAAAAAGAAACAAGTTAATGCAAAGTTAATTCAATTTTTTTTATACTTTCAAACGTATTTTTTTTTTTTTATCAACCATTTCACGCTTTTCGGTTAAAGTTGAAAAAAAAGGATGGTGTAGGGAAAAAGAAACCAAGTACTAGTCTTATATGAATCACCGATGATTTCTGAGCCCGTCAATACCCCAATCAACTGCATTCAGTTTGAGGAAAAAAAAAAAAAAAAAAAAAAAAAACCCGTACCCAGTAGGCACACCAATCACATACGCGTACGCATCGTGTAAGCTGCAAGCGACTACAGGTGCACTCACCACTATCGTACGACTCACAGAGCTCGAGGGTCTTCGTGTGCGTGATGTCCTTGTGCGAGGCCAGAAAAAGCACGACGTCGCCCTTTTCGTTTTTTATGGGCACGATGTCGAGCAGACAGTCGAACGGAGCTCCTGCAAGGAAAACACATGCTCCTTATAGTGCATGGAAAATAGCAATGAATGCTTTGTTTTGTTTTGTCGCTCTCATCATCTAAAAAGAAAATTGCACAAGAGCAAAGGCACGAGAAATTATATTTCGCGCACTTGGTGTCAAAAAAACGCCCCACGTGCCACGAGCAAATCAAGCTCCCTGGGCAAATTTTTCATTTCACTTAATGAGAAGAGGAAAGCGCGCATCGTGAATTAAAGAACTCGAGCCAGGGTCGCTGCTTGGCGCGAAGAGGAGGGAAAAAAAGGAGCAGGGCAAGGTGTGGTGGGGGGAGGGGACGAGAAAAAGTCATTTACCGGCCGCTGCTGTTGCTCGTCCTTCCGCGCGGCAGAGCTTTAATTATAAAAAAACACTGCAGCCTCGTTACGGCGAAGCGCTTGTCGCGCGAGGCGATAAAAGCTCTCCCTGGGCGATTATGCGCCGTGGCGATGTTATTTCCAGCTGCGCGTGGTAGGGGCAGGAGGAAAAAAAATGAGCCTCCGGTTCATACATACATACGCGCTCTTGGCTTTGCGAAAGGGAAAAATATGACTAGATGTGCTGGCGGTTTTATACACGCTTCGTGGATCTTTGAAGTTGGATGGATATGGATACACTTACATACGCTGGTGATGTTGTTGTTTTTTTTTCTTTTGTTTCTCAAGAGTTTGTGTGAACGGGTGGATAGATTGGGCTCTGATGAAAACATTTTTTACAGGATAGCGTTGCTTTGTGGACGAATGAAAAACTATTAGGTGCCGTTTTGTTAAAATTGATCGTACGTGCATACATATATAAAGCGTTTGACCATCTTTTTTTTATCATTTAAAGAGATTTATTTTTTAACTGCAAAAAATAAAATACAAGGACTTTTTGTAATTTCGTAGAGTCACAAAATTTTTTTGCTTAACTTGCAGTTTTTACGATGTAGTGTTTTTTTCTACCTTTCAGTCATTTTTTAGTTCTGCAATAAAAAAAAGAGTGGTTTTGCTGGTTGTAAAAATTAAGAACCCAAAGTAAAATGCGTTTCGAAAAATATGTGGAATTTTGGCAGAAATTTCAGAGAGAATACTTTGAAGAGAAATTTCAGTAATTCGGTTAAAATTGTAAAGATTGTACTGGTTAATACATTAAAAGTAAAATTCTATACAGAAATTAATTTAAGAAATTATATTTAAATATTTATCTCACTACCATCGCTGAGTTTATTTGAAAATACACTCGCAAATTGAAATTAATTTACTCTCCGTATTTTCTCCTTCATTTTGGGTGGGTGAGGTGAAAGTGTGTATATTTTCACGTTATTAAAAACGAAGTGAAGTTATTCCAATTTCCTTAATTGTAAAGTATTCGTCTTGTGGAAAAGTTGATAAAAGCAGGCAGGAAATTAATAATAACAGGGGGGGGGGAAACGATTAAAGCAAATCAGCTTGGTCAGGAAATTAAAAAAAAAAAAAAAAAGATATGACGCTCCAAGTTCACCAGATAATGCGAAAGCTAATTTCATGGACGAACATCAAACTTCGTGACGGGCTTGAAATTAAATTTTCTTTTCATCTGAAATAGCACATAAAATTGCAAAGTTCTGTCGTAGAGTTTTCGGTTTCAAAAAAAAACTTTTTAATTTTACTGGGTTTTTTAAAAAATATGTTCTCAAAATTATCCATGAGCACGCAAAGTTTTTCACAATTCTATTATTCAAGGTAAATTCACTTTCTTGAAAATTTTAACTCTCCAAAAAAATATTTAAATCTCCATTTACGGACAATTACCAAGCACTTTCAGAGTCGCTCGAAAAAAAAAGCAGCAGCCGGAATCTGGTCGTTTATTAATTTCCGGAAGGAAAAACGAATCCAACGGTCGCTACGTGAACGGAAGTCATTTGTCGTGGCACGTCTCCAAGGGCAATGCCGCAATTTGTATGAATTATTTACTTTGGCTGGAAAAAAATAAGTTGAAATCCGACTTTCATTTACCTGAAAATTTTTCTCGTTAAAGTGTAAGACATCTTTTGACCTTACATTTTATTTCATTGATCATTTTTATGAAGCCCCCCTTTTTTTTACTATTGTGTTTTATATTATACTCGAAGGACATTATTTTATGATCTTTCAAAAATTTAGAAATAAAATTTTTTTCTACAAACACTATGCACAGCACCTAAAGAAAATTTATTCATCAACAAAAAAATGTATTCAACAACAATATTTTGAAATTTTTTCTCTTTTTTTTTTTTAAGATTAAATGCATCATAGTTGCTGGAAAAAATTTGAAGCAGATAACGGTAATAAAGAACCTTTTTTTAGCCCAAAAATTTGTATTAATATTTTTTGGTAAAAACCCATAGCGTAAGATATTTGAACAAAGTAACTACGCATTATTTTGACGCAAGTAAAAATTTTTCCGTCCTGAGGCATTTATCAGCAAAAATTCAGCGTTAACCTTTAAATTTTAATTACAAGAGCACACATATCACATTCAGTGAACAAAAAACTCCTCTTCTCACTTCTTCTCGGTCTCAAGTGCAAAATCAATACTTGGCCAGTTTACTTTTAATCACCTCCGTCTTGAGCCAAGACGCAAGCCCTAATCAAGAAACCTCTTCGTTCTACGGATGGTGCGACGAAACCAGGTATCGCAAGTCGCAGCATCGGCCAATCAACCAAAAGTTTTTCAAATTAAACCAAACAAAGATCCGCACTCACCGCTTTTCTTGTAAAACACGACCTCGAGCTTGAGCTCCGTCTTGGACTCGAGGCTCTTGTCGATCATGGCTTTGTCCTCCTCCTTCGTGTCGGGCCCGTAGAGGAATTTGCAGGCGCATCCTTTCTGCATGATCTGCGCCCGCGCAAATCCTGTCAGATCGACGAAGCCATCCGAGCAATAAACGATCGGGTAGATCGTCGGCACTTGCGCATTTCCCAGCACAAAGTTGCTGTCTGCAAGCATAAATAATTTTACGATCGCTTGATGAGTAAAGGCGAGTTTGAGGTAAAACTTATCAAAATTAATAGCTATTTTTTTACGTAATGAATTATTTTAGACGATTAACATCTAATTTTATATTTACAGGATGGATTTTTTTCAATTGATCAAGGAGTGAACTGATTAATGAAAATTATATTATAGAAAAGTAGAAAACATGTCTGAATAATAAATCCAATAACAAAAATCCTTAATCATCTTGTTTTTACTATAATACTATTTGAAGAAAAATAAAATTAAAAAAATAATTAGGAAAATTTTTTAAACTTAATTACTTAGAAACATTTCTTCTCTCCATGATATATTTTTAACTAATTTTGTACTTTCAGCTAGAATTAAAAAAAAAAAAACAAAAAAAAAATAAGGAAAAACGAAATAGCCTCGTTAAACTAGCTCCTGATAACGATCAATAGCTGATTGAAAAAAAAAAATTTATAAACATGAGTTACCAGGTTACTCAAATAATCATGCAAATATTCTTATCTCATTGGCGAGTAGGATATGAAAAAAGTTCCTTAACTGATTAATAATTTTGCATTTGGGAAAAAGTGTATCAGGCAGGGAGAACTTTTCTCTAGCAAGTTTTAATAATCTCTACTAGTTACTCGGGTTGAGGAAATATTAAAAGTTACTTTGCTTCCACTTACGATCCTCTAGGTGAAATTTCATAAAACTGAAAGTGTTTTTTAATCAAACTGCCTAAATGTATGCGTCTAAAATTCATACAGTTGTAGATAAAAAAAAAAAAAAAAAAAACCATTATGTAATTAGAAGACCGACATAACTCAAATAAAGGAAAAGATATAAGCTTAATCACGAGTTTTTGAGCCACCATATGAAGAAAAAACTCGACAAAATTGGTACCCCTGGTGAATCATAGGCGTACCTTGTCAGTGTCAGCGTCATATCTGCCTGCTTCTTTTCACCCGTCAATAATAATCCAAACACACATCACACGACAGCTTTGACGAGCTATGCATTTATTTTTCGAACCGAGTGGCAGTAACACATCTTTCTGGCTAACTTCCGGGAAAGAAGAAGCAGCAGCACCATTTCACCTCGACTCGGCTGCGTCTTCGACTTGACTGATTGTTTATCGTCTGTTGAAAGCTTTGATTTAGAGCCTCTATCAGCTGCACTTGGACTATAAACGTGATGCCGATAAGGCGTACACGAGCTTTTGCACACGACTTTCCAGAGACGCTATTGAGCTTTTTATGCATCTTTTGGCTTTTGTTTGCTTTTTTCTGCGGTTCTCCAGATGGAGTGTTTGGTTTTTTTGAATTTATGTTTATTTGACAGAATGAGCGAGGAGCTTCTTGAGACTTTACCGTGGGCTTTGGGGAACAAGATTTTTTGGACTTTCGTTTTACGCGAGTTCTGAGAGTGCAGTTTAGTAGGTGTAAGTTTCGCACGAAAATGTCCACCTTTTTTGATAAAATTTATCTAGCAATTTTTGTCTGCATCTTTAAAAAGTGTTTGAGTGTGTATATATATAAAAAAAAAAAAAAAAAAAGAAAAAATAAAATTAAAAACAAAAAAACATAAAATAAAGGACGCTCCAAGTTCACCAGATAATGCGAAAGCTAATTTCATGGACGAACATCAAACTTCGTGACGGGCTTGAAATTAAATTTTCTTTTCATCTGAAATAGCACATAAAATTGCAAAGTTCTGTCGTAGAGTTTNTTTAAATGCCAGTGAAGAGTATTTGAAGAAGTTATAAAATTTTTTTCTCCCGGTTCAACATATGCAAAATTTATGTTTGATTATTTATTAACATGCCGTAATGAGCAAGTGTTCAACACTGTACAGTGTATCTTTATAATGAAATCAGACGAAAGATTAAATGTACTATCATGTTGTCAATAGTTTCCCACTAAAACCTTATTAATCTGTATCTCTTGGTGGATCAGCAATGTGCCATTTTAAAATTAATTGCATACGGCATGTTAGTGATTTTCTTAAGATCTCAACAATTACATTCAATCACATTTTAAGAGTTGACCACTAGCCTTTGCGGTACTGTGTTATAGGTATACTATTACAAATACCAGTTCCTCATCAGAGAGTGGTTGATCTGCACAAATAACGTGTAGAACCAGCGTAGTTGTCTCAATGGAGCAGTTAATAAATGAGCTCTGCTCAAAGCGCTCTCTCTCTCTCTCTCTCTCTCTCTGTCGAACCAAGTCGTATAGTATAGACAAACGTGATACAGATGCACACGTGCATCAGAGACGGGTATTTGGTGCAATAATACAGCAGGGACTATTGGATTTGCATCGAGATCAGCCTTGCTTGCTTCGGCTGTGTATACAGTGGAGGTAACGGAGGATGACTAATTTGACCTTGGTACTTTACATTTTGGTACCCCAAAGACCCAAGGTCCTGTAACTTGTATTATTGTTTTCGTAAAAATATTGAATTAAAATCTTTATTTACTATACAGAACACGCGATTCATATCTTGATAAGACAATAAGTATCGTGAGAATTTCCACGCCACGAAGCCGGAACAGGCAATATATATTCAAGCCCATGAGATAAAAGGGAGAGGTGAGCCTAACAGGACTGCAGAGGAATGTATTCTTCTCTCTCGTTCTCTTATCGGCTCAAACGACTGTTTTCCGTTTCACCGACTTTTCACAGTGATATCGTATCACTGTTATCATTCTTTACACTTTTTTGTGTACTCTATATTTAAATACTCAAATAGAGTACACGATACCGTGTACAGAACGATAAAGCGATACGGTAACAGTGAGGTAAGACATTGAAAGAAAACATTAAGTTTTGAAAAAGTTTAATTTCTACTTGAAAACTTTGCGAATGAAAATTTTTGTTGGTAGTGGTATTTGAATCCCAGACATTGACATCTGAAAGTATATATGTAATTATGAATGTGTGTATTCATGTATGTAGTACGGATGTAATATGAGCGCACATTAAACACAGAACAAAACATTAATCTTAGCACGATAAGCTCATATGATTTCTTTTATTTAGAAACTTTTTACAGCTGATAAATTACATTTTACAATTTAGAACTTGATTAATTTGTATAGTTTGCGTAGAAGTGACTGAAGACATAGTTCAGAGGTACGAATGAGTATACATAAATAGATAAGAGATAGTCATAAGATAGGAACCCGTTTCCATAAATACAGAGAGCGGATTTTTATTATTTTAGTTTCTCGAGTATCGAAGTTTCATGAAGCAAATATAGAGTATCGAATATCGCGCCTATCGCATTTTCAACAAAATACGGTGAACATAAATTAATGTGCACTTATAATCCAAACTATAGTAACTTATATTGTAACTGGTGTACCAATAGGTTGATTGAATTTGTTGAAAGGAAGAAAGATGGGATCGGCCTATGGAACGAAAGCGATCATCCATGTACTTATAGTTGTGGCCATACTCCAAGCTATTGGTCTAGATTTAGATTTTTTCAGAAAAATATTGTTTGTATGTGTCATTGGCTTGTTGCGAATATGTTAATAAAAAAAAAAATGTTTTTACGATAAAAAAAAAAAGTTTTTTACTTCTCTATTGTTACATGACCCCCCCAGTGATCACATGTAAACACAGATTGCAACTTCACAAAACCGTGAGGTCACTATACACTAACACTAACTAATAATTACAAGTAATTAAAATGGGACTGCAGTAGAACCCACGGTGGAAGGAAAGTGAGTACTTTTTATTAAAACAGTCTCTTTTTGTACCCCGACACTTTGTTCCTCAGCTGTTATCTCCTCAAGGGAGTGACAGCGTATTTAAAAACTGAAAAAAAAAAATATACGCTTACACCCCGTGCAAACCATGAGCATACAGTTTACGCTCTGGTCCTCCGTAACAAGTGCCCAGAAAGCCTCGCACTCCCACGAAATCCGTGTTACGGACGCTCCATTAGTCTCTGTCGCGGCCGGTGTCCGCCTCCTGCATCGCTTTTCGCATAATGCCTATACCCTCCTTCCTTCGCAACATCATCATCAGCTTTTAGCCCCGCCACCGCTGCAGCGCGAACCATTTGTCGTTGCTCTCGGCTCTGGTTAAAGTCCCACCAGAGAACGCGCTCCGTAGATCACTTTTTTTCCCGCGACCGAGTTTTTTTCCGCTTCGAGCTCTCCACTCCAGGAATCTCGTCGAATCAACAGTGACACACTTTTTTTTTTTTTTTTTTTTTTTTGAAAGTGTCAACAAGACTAATTATACGTAGTAACTATAAATTATTCCATCCATCGGATCTTTGTGTAATTGCTCTCGAGAAAACTCGTACTCGATTTTCAGAGTCGAGGCACAAACTGGATTATCTCAACCCGGCCGACAAGTCCCGATCAGCCAAAGCACAAAAAGCATCTATACCGTGGAATTAAATAACTCGCTCTTAGCTACGCTCGTACACGTAAAGTTCAACCCCCCCAAGTCCAAGCTTGCTGTACAACACGGCGCTGCGAGGGATAATCTCGAATGATGTGTAAGAATATATATGAGCCCAGAGAGCACCAAGCAGTGAACAGGAGGGTTGCGCTCTCTCCACTCCTGCATTATTCCCTGGAAGCCGATTACGCGGGATACGGATGCAGCGTCATCTGAGCTCCAAGATCTAGTGAGCGCGGTAAAAGATTTAAGCGAGCGAGTTTTCTTTTTTCTTTTTTTTTCTTTCATTTGTCTCATTTCCCTGATCCGCGACCCGTTGTTTGCCAACCGCTCGGTTAACCCGGATCAGTGAAAATTTCCCGTTCGCACCACACGATACCCATACACGTATACATTCCCCCAAAAGGTCTCTCTCTGTTTATCCGCCAAAAACGATCGGGACACGCAACGGCATGGTCACGCGAAAGGGATCACCCAAAAAGGTACAAGTGATCGAGCGAGCGCCCAAAGCACGCCAAAGCTCGTTCTCTACTGGCGCACGGCCAGGGTAAACGAAACCGAGGGAGCAT